GAAATATGAGCTATAATATATAGATTTTAGCCAGAATATGTAGATATTAGCTATAAAATCTGGAAATCTGAGCTATAATGTATAGATTTTACCCAGAATATGTAGATATTAGCTATAAAATATGGAAATATGAGCTATAATATGTAGAATTTAGCCAGAATATATAGATTTTTAGCCAAAAATATAGATTTTTAGCCAGAATATCTGCATATGAGCTATAAAATCTGGACATTCTCGCTATAAAATACACATATTAGCCATAATATCTGGAAATCTTGTTTATTTTATATACATTGGCCATGATATCTCGAAATTGCAGCTGTAATCTGTACCTACGAGCTCTGCTATGCAGAAATCTTGGCTAGAATCTGGATGTCTCAGGTATAACATGCAGAAATTTTAGCTATAATCTCTCTATTAGGTCGAATACACAGAAATTTAAGGTATAATTGATAGATATTTGCTCTAATATAGGGAAATATAGCTCTAATTGATACAGATTTGTGATGCTGGATGAAAAATCTTTGCTATAATCTCAAAATTTTAGCTCTAATTTCTAAATTCTAGCTCCAATCTTTAAATTCTAGCTCTAAATTCTAGCTCCAATCTTTAAATTCTAGCTCCAATCTCTAAACTCTAGCTCTAATCTCTAAATTCTAGCTCTAATCTCTACATTTTACCTCTAATACACCAAAATCTTGGCTCTAATACAGAAAAATCTTAGCCAAAACACAGAAAAATCTTAATTCTCCTCTATATCAACCCTAATTTCTAGAAATCTCAGCTCTAATCTCCACAAATGAGCCACAATCTATCGAAATCTCCCCTGGAATTGATCTATTTTTGTTATTATAGATAGAAATCTTGGCTAAAAATCCATATATTAGCCACAAAATTCAGCAATCTTGGCTAGAACGCATAAAAATTCACTGTCCTAGAGGAAAAATCTGAGCTCTAATATAAATTATCTCTAATCTCCACCTAGAAACCACCAGATATTGCAATTTTAGCCCTCTCTAGATCTCTATTTTAATTCCTTTTTAATCTTCTTCGGGGCCAGCAGCCCCAAACGAGCCCAGGCTCCAACTTCCCTCCTGCTGCAGAGGATTTAATTCTGCCTTTTTCAGCCCAAATCTCCCAGCAGAGGAAGAACCTGGAGGGAGAAAATTTTCCCCTCCCTGCGTTTTTATTTATTTATTCATTTATTCCTTGATTTCTCTTCTCTCCTTTTGGCTTCTTCCCACGATATTGAAGCCCCTGAGGAAATTCAGCTCAAAGCCAGAGGCTCCTGGTGGGGATTTTAACCCCCCAAAAAACCTCATTTTGGCAGCAAAAACCTCCCCCCTTCCTCACCCTAAATCAGGGAAACTAATTTCCCATCATCTTTAATTAATTAGCTCCCACTAATGAAAGCATCACGTGGCCAGGATGAGGTGGGATCCCAGAGCCCACGGAAATTAAACTGCTAAATAATAGATGCTGGCTCTTAACGAGCTCATTTTAAGTGGAAATTTTGGTGGGTTTTGATATTTTAAGGAAAAAAAAATTCACATTTTTTTGGTTTTTAATCTTCTCCCAGCAAAATTTTTGGCACTCACCTGGAAGTTGAATGAAACTGGAGGAGAAAAAAAAAGACTCCTCAGATGTTGTCTGTTGGGAGTGACCTCCAAACTCCAGTCCCCCACCCCCCCCAAATTCCTTTTATCACCAAATTAATTCAGAGTTCTTAATTGATTAGTAAGAATTTACAGGGGAGAAAAACATCCCCACCCCCCACGCTGGGAGATTCCACCTCAAAGGAGCTTCAAAACTTCCTAGAGTTTAATTTATTGGGTGTATAAATTTCTACCAGCTCCAGGGGGGGGATTTTTAGCCTTGAGGGAGTGGCCAAAGGGTGAAGAGTTGGTTGGAGAAATCCATTGGGGGCCTTTTTTTGGCCAAAAAAATAATGAGGTGACCCTAAAATCCTCAAATCATGGAATTTTTGGGGGGTTGGAAGAGACTTTTGAGGTCCTGGACTCCAAGCCTTGACCCTCAGCACCTTTGGGTGCCCCCCCAAGGGTGGGAGGTTGGGTGGTGGGACACGAGCGGGTGCTCCTCAAACCCTCTGTGAGGAGCAAAACCCCCACCCCTTGACCCCTCCTCTGCTCAGCACCCACCTCAGCCCCTCAGCTCCTCCCACCTCAGCCCGGGTGGGGCAGGATGAGCCCATATCAGGAGCTCCACCAGCTGTAGGGACCTCAAGCTGCCTCCTCTTCCTCTTCTTCTTCCTCCTCCCAGAAGATGCAGCCAGGAGACACCAGCTCCCGTCCCTTCAAGCAGAGGAAGAGTCTTGGTGAGCTCCTGGGGAGCAGCAGAGGGGAGATGTGGGGGGTGGGCTCCACTCATTCCTCCTTCTCCTCTTCTCCCACAGCCACCAGGATGCACGAGGTGACGACCATCCGCCTGAAATACCCCAACAAGCTCCCGGTGAGGGTCGTGTCCTCCTGCTCTTCGTGGCCACCAGGACCCCCAGAGCCTCAGCTTGAGTCTCCATGGCTCCATTCTGAAGCCCACCCCCCCTTCTAGAGTGGTCCCAAACCCTCCCAGGTCCTCCTCTCCCCCTCCTCCAGCATCTTCTCCCCGCTGCAGGTGGTTGTGGAGCGCTACCAGAAGGAGAAGACCTTGCCCCCCTTGAGCAGGACCAAGTTCCTGGTGTCCCAGGACCTGCCCCTGGCCCAATTTGCCATCACCTTGAGGTGAGGGGGTCAAGATGGGCTTGGGGGAGGGGTCCCCACCCCTGGCCACCCCCCTGGACCCCAGTGCAAAACCCACCCGAGGTGCTGCTGGAACTAGGAGGCCACTTTGGCCGCTCCACTGGCCAAGCGTTTAGATGTGGCCTAAAGCAATTAACCTCTGTAATTAGGCTTTGTAATTAGCCAAGGGTGTTTTCCTGCAGGGCATGAGGTGCTTGCTAAAGGGGGGTTGGACTTAGAAGACCTTCAAAGGTCCCTTCAGACCCTAAACCCCTCGATGATGGTGGCTTAGGGCAGATCCCTCCCCACATGAGAAGGTGGCAATTAGCCCAAGGACCTGCAGCCCACCCCTTAATTAGGGGTGGGTAATTAGCAGCCCAGTGCTGTGGCAGCTGACTTGGAAACCTTTGGGCTCTGCTTGATGAAATCCCTCCCAAGAACCAACTTCTGGTGGGGTCAGATGGATGGGGGGAGGTTTTGGGGAACATCTGGGCACCCACCTTGATGCCCTTGGGTGGTGGGACCAGGGGGAGGTGATGCTGAAGCTCAAGACCCCTCAACCTCTGAGCTCTGTGTCCATGGATGGATCTTCTCCATTGGGCCAAGAACCAACTTCTGGTCAGGTCAGATGGTTGGGGGGAAGGTCTAGGGGGGGTTTTGGGGAACATCTGGGCACCCACCTTGATGCCCCTGGGTGGTGGGACCAGGGGGAGGTGATGCTGAAGCTCAAGACCCCCTCAACCTCTGAGCTCTGTGTCCATGGATGGGTCTTCTCCATTGGGCCAAGAACCAACTTCTGGTCAGGTCAGATGGTTGGGGGGAAGGTCTAGGGGAGGTTTTGAGGAACATCTGGGCACCCACCTTGATGCCCCTGGGTGGTGGGACCAGGGGGAGGTGATGCTGAAGCTCAAGAACCCCTCAACCTCTGAGCTCTGTGTCCATGGATGGATCTTCTCCCTTGGGCCAGACACCCACACGTGGTTGTCCTTGGCAGGACACGTCTTGGCTTGGCCTCCTCGCAGACCTTCTACCTGCTGGTGAACAACAAAGGGCTGCCCAACATGGCCATCACCATGCAGGAGCTGTACCAGGCCAACAAGGATGAAGATGGTTTCCTCTACCTCACCTACGCCTCCCAGGAGATGTTTGGCAGCTCCAAGGAGGAGGAGCCAGCAGCTGCTTGACCACAAATCCATCATCTCCCACCCCCACAGTCCTTGGAGATGCTCCACTCGGGGCTCCAAGGGTGGAGAGATCGGGGGTGGATGGCTCCAAATTTGGGTTAAGATGGATGGGGGAGGTTTGGGTGGTTGGTGGGGGTTCAACCCTTGGATTTTGGTGGGATTCAACCTCAGATTGTGGTCAGGTCCAACCCTTGGGTGGTTGGTGGGATCCAACCTCAGACTGTGGTCAGGTCCAACCCTTGGATTTT